AACTTTGTGTATGGTGTTTCAAAAGCATTAGTTAATGTTCTGGTCAAAAACACCCAAAGTTTTTGCTGCCTTCAGCAGCAGCGTGATTATTTTGTTCTTCTAAATGTGCAGCTTAATGCACATGTGTGTAAACATGGAGACTTGTTATTATGACATGGAAAGTGATTTGTAGATCATTTCTATATGGACTGATATGATTATGAGACCTGAAAATATATGTACAATAACCTTAACACATTAGAATAAAGTAGATCCAATTACAGAACTGTTGTTTAAAATTTCTGCCAAATTTCTTATGTCAAGGCCAATAAATACAGATTCTGAAACAAAATGAGTCTCTGATTTTCTCTGAGACGAACTCTTACGAACATCGAATGTGCTCAGATCTGATTTGCTTAATCAGGACTAAACCAGACCATTACTACACCAGGACTAAAGTACCAGGACCAAATCAGGACTAAACCAGACCATTACTACACCAGGACTAAAGTACCAGGACCAAATCAGGACTAAACCAGACCATTACTGCACCAGGACTAAAGTACCAGGACCAAATCAGGACTAAACCAGACCATTACTACACCAGGACTAAGCCAGTATTAAACTGAGCTAGTGGGGCAATAGTAGCTCAGCTGGTGCAGTGGTCAAATCCACTGACACAGGTTGGTGGTGTGATTCCAGCTCTCACAGATGAATGCTGCCATTGTGTCCTTTACCAAGACACTTAATCCTGCTCTCCCGCTAGTGTCTGTCTACACTGGTGTATTAGTGTGTGTGAATGTGTGAGTGGATCGTGATGTAAAGCGCCATTTAAACGATTTAAACAAACACCAAACCAACCCGGGGGCCTCTTAAACCTGACCAGGAGCTGCTTCTGTAACACAAGAGTTGAGTATCTGTCCCTCCTGCAGTGTTTTCAGACTCTACACTGCACTTCGACAGCAGGACCACTGGTTGGATCTGACTGGATGAAGATGATGATGTAACATTTCAGACAGGACGGGACTTTAGAGCACAATCTTTAAACCTCAGGTCTAAACCAGGTGTAACTCACCCGGGTGAAACTGGTCCTGATACTGTTGGCCCCGCCCCTGTATCCTTTCCGCCTGTCTTTGATGTGGTCACGTGACGTAAGGACGCACGCCACGCACGCTCGTCTTCTTCATCCTTCAGTAAAAATGGCGGCCGCTCGGATCTCGCATCTCCGCCGCATCCCTCGAGCTTTTGTCCTTTTTCTCTCTTTATTTTACGTTTTATCCCCCTGTCACGGCGAGGAACAGGTCCCGCTCATCCTCTGGACCAGCGAAGGGTGCGTGTTTTTATTTCATTCATTTATTTTAATCCATATTACCACCTACTACGGCGTCGTGCTATAACGGGACACATCCGAGGCAATGCAAGGTTATTACAGCGTCCTACGTAAAAAAAAAAAAAAAAAAAAAAAACGCTTAAAAATTTGCAATATTTCCTTTTTTTTTTTTTTTTTTCATTTGACAAAGAAATTGACTATTAGTATTTCCCGTTTTGTTGCTGTGTGCGTTTTTAAAAGCACATCTCGGGTGCAGGTGCAGTGTCCGGTTTCAGATACAGTTCCTGGCCACTAGGAGGAGAACAGTCATTGCAGGGTTTCAGATAGATATGTCAGATGCCCTCCCATCCTCTTCTGTCCCTGTGTGTCAGATGCCCTCCCATCCTCCTGTATCTCTGTGGTGTTGGAGTGAGGTGGGGGCAGGACAGATGTTGTGGTTATAGTGGTAAATAAACTATCAGACTCAATATTTGTGGAATTTTATTAAAATTAGAAATTACAACAGGCTAATAATAATCATAGTTGTTCTGTAATTGTAATTTTTCCAGTGTCTCTCAGATTGTTAAACTGGTTATTCCTGAATTACTTGACAATTTTACAGGAAATGTCCATAAATATTGGAATCTAGTCATTTATAATAGTGAAATCAGCCCATATTATCTAGGCGTACATCCTGAAAAAATTTTTTTTTTAAAAAAAAAAATCAAACATTAGCCATAAAATGTTCTAAACTGAGACACACTCGGGTTGGAATGGTTGGTATAAATAAAATAGTGAAAAGAGACTGTAGCATTCTCGTGTCAGTCATAACTTCTGATGCTGCATTTTTTCGCTTTATGGTCATTTGCAAACACAGGGACTAGATTAGTTAAAATTGTGCTAGTCCTGATGTAGTCCTGGTTTAATCATAGTTTAGCCCAAATTGATCAAAAATAGGGACACCTGAGACATTTCTTGTACAAAATTGGGACAGATCAGTGGTTTTGTATAAATCTGCTGAGACAGGGGACACTGGGCTCATAACTGGGACTGTCTTGGGACGTCTGGTCACACTACATAAAACTATAGTGTGTCATTTTGCGGAAAGCCAATTTTTTGTGTTTCAGGGTTGCAAATTCCAGCAATTGTTTCTATGGGTGTTGAAAATGTTGAACCAGTGTTTTAGACCCACTTCTACTGAAATAAAATAGACTTTTCTTACACAGAGCCTCCATGCCCAGCCAGACTGCCCCCTCTGCTGGACACATAGTGGAACAGCAGCAGTTGTCTTCGTACCTGGAAAAAGCTCTGAACCTGGGACCTAAAAATGTGGTGCTTTTTCTGCAGGACAAGGTACAGACTGCAAGAATGAACATTTTAACAAGCATTTCATTGCATTGTTTTATGTATGTTTTTATGAATGTTTTCTGATTGATTTTACAGATGAGCATTGAAGACTTCACCATGTACGGAGGGGCGTTTGGAAACAAACAGGACAGTGTGTTTCCAAATCTAGAGGTGAGAATTTAAGGCATGATTTCCAGTTTCTGTTTTGGTGGTGTTCTGGTCATAGACAGTGTTGGGAAGGTGACTTTTAAAATGTATTCCCCTACAGATTACAGATTACATACACCAAAATGTAGTTTGTAACGTCATCTATTAAATTATTTAAGGTGAGTAATGTAATCTGAATACTTTGGATTACTTGATTTGCTGTAGAGAAACAAAGACAAGGAAATCACAACATAAACTAGAAAAGCACTCAGAGAGCGCAGACCTCCGCCAAGTACTACCCCCATTTTGTATATAAATTGCGATAAAATCAGTCTTCTGGATCAGATCCAGATCAGCCTTTGGAATATGAAAGAGGATCCCATTGTCCATCCCTGAGTCAAATTTCATGGGGTTTGGTCAATAATTAACCGAGATATTGAGAAACAAAATTTTTGGCCCCATTTACCACAATGTTAACTAAAATTTCAAAGTGATCCAGAATCCAGGATTTCTTCCGGATCACCCCCAAAATGAAATCAGTGCTTCCTTTTCACATTTCCAACAAATCCTGAAAATTTCATCAAAATCGGTCCATAACTTTTTGAGTTATGTTGCTAACAGACAAACAGACAAACAGACAAACAACAAACAAACAAACAAACGCCGGCAAAAACATAGGCAAGGCAAGTTTATTTGTACAGCACAATTCGTACACAAAGTAATTCAAAGTGCTTTACAGAATAAGAAATACATTAACATCATAATAAAAACAAATCAAAACATAAATAATCATGAAGATTAAATTATTAATTAATTATATTATATATTATAAATTAATTAAAAAAGAGAGACATAAATTGGAGAGGAGTGCGGAATGAAAACCTTTCAGTTATATGCACAGTTAAACACAGAAATGTGTTGAGTCTGGATTTAAACAGCGTCACAGAAGAGGCCTTTGGAATATGAAAGAGGAACATGAAACATAACCTCCTTGGCGGAGGTAAATATTTTGTCTGCTAAAAGAAAATGAATGCCCAGACTTTACTGAACCAATTAAAAATATTATTGATAGAAGAGGAGGAAACACGTCCACGCAGCAGGATTTCCTGTTAAATCCTGGTTTAGTCCTGTTTTAGTCCTGGTTTAGACTTGGTTTAGATTTGGTTTAGTCCTGGTTTAGTCCTGGTTTAGACCTGGTTTAGATTTGGTTTAGTCCTGGTTTAGTCCTGGTTTAGACCTGGTTTAGACCTGGTTTAGTTTTGGTTTAGATTTGGTTTAGTCCTGGTTTAGTCCTGGTTTAGACCTGGTTTAGATTTGGTTTAGTCCTGGTTTTAGTCCTGGTTTAGCCCAAAATGTGAAAACAGCAAAATACTGCTGTGTAATCCATTTATTCCAACAAAGTAACTGTAATCCAATTACCACTCACTGAAACAGTAACTGTAATTGAACACAGTTACTCATAATTTGTATTGATTACGTAACTCCAGTACATGTAATCCGTTACTCCCCAACACTGGTAGTAGAATGTGCTGTTGTCTCTCTGATGGAACAGGAGCTAGAATCCACATTACAAATGAAATGTAATGTTTCTGTCCACCTTATTCTGGAAGTTGCCGAGAGAATTTCCATCATCATTCAGTTTGTGTTATTTTGTGTGGGGTCGATCTTGACAGCAAATACATTCGATATGGATGATAAAGCTGTTTTAAAGTCTCCAGAGAATCGGTGCAGTGTGATTTGTTGGTCACATGAACATTGAACATTTTACACAAATGACCCGACTTTGCCATATTTAAGATGCAAATTGTATCCCAAATTCTCCATTGACATGAGTGGGATCCCCGTTTAATCAGAAGTGTCACATTTAGAGACTGAAGTGGGCGGGGCAGAATAAGGTGGATAAAGTTGGATTTGTCTAATAAACACTTCATGTTGCTGTCTGTGTCAGGTGCCCTCCCTTCCTCCTGCATCCTGTAGTGTTGGAAAACAATGGGGCGGGTCAGATGTCTCTAGTTTATCAGCAGATGTTGGTGTTTCAGAGGTTGTGGTGTGATTGGAGAAATGCAGCGGGATAATGGACTTTTGGGGGGGGTGACAGTTGCTCATTTGGTTGAGTGTTTGACCACTGATTCAAAGGTTGTGGAGGTATGAATCCCGCTCTCAACATAAACATCATTGGTGAGCGATCAGATCCACTGACCCACAGGTTGGCTGGTGTGATTTCAGCTCCCACTGATGAATGCTGTTGTTGTGTCCTTGGGCAAGACACTTCACCCCCATTTCTCCCCCAGTGTCTGCTTACTCTGGTTTGTGGTTGGGTGAGTGGTTCCTTGATGTAAAGTGCTTTGAGCCTTGAAGGTGGGAAAGTGTTGTATAAAAATGTGAGCATTTAACATTTACTATTTACCTTGTCACTGATAGAAATGATCAGGGATTTGGCTTTTGGAGATTTGTTATGAACATAGAGAAAAATCACACACACCGTCTTACTTATTAGAACTTATTAGATGTATTAGAACAAACTGCAACATTTCTTTGTTTCTGATGCCTTCATCAGGCGTCAGAATGAGAGCTCAGGTGGCCATCTTAAATAGGGTGTGGCAAGCACTATTTTATTTTAATTTTTCTATTATTTTTCAATGATTTTTCTCCTATGATTAATATTGTGTTATTATATTATTATTATTATTACACTGTCTGTTGATTGTCTTTGTTTTTTGAATTATGGTGTTTTGGTACACTGTTTCTTTACGACCTGTCACCCTTGGGTTCTTGCCACACCCTATTTAAGATGGCCACCTGAGCTCTCATTCTGTTTGCCTGACGAAGGCCTAGTGCTGAAATGTTGCACGGTTTGTCCTAATAAATCTCACAATTTGCAAGTAAGACGGTGTGCAGGATTATTCTCTATGTTCTTGGGTTGCTCCTCCATCTCAAGTAACTGATGTGTGAAGTTCTCATCCTTTTATATTGGAGATTTCTTATGAAAATACCATCAACCATCTGTAATTTAATAATGTGTATTTGTTCTAGGGTTGTCAGATTTATAGAAAACCAGATGCTAATCGATACTAAAACTAGTATTGAAACTAGATACTCATTTTTTGCAGGTATCAATAATAAAAAGTCCCATAGACAGGAGCCTTTCCTGAATGTCTTTAGAGTGATGTTGAGCTGAATCAGAACAAGAGCACATAGACTAGTACACACACATGGACACTATGAACCTACTGCACCACTGACGACTACACACATACAAGACACATGGGAATATGAAAGAAAGTTCTGCCGTTTAATGTTGAAAATCACATTCTATTGTTTAAAGAAACAGTGTTTTTTATTATCATGGTGGCGTCAGAATCAGTATTGAGTATCAAGTCTATTTCTTAGTATCGAAATCAAGTTTGAAATGTTAGTATTGTGACTACATTGATTTGTTCTCCTCTGTGGTCCATTGCAGAGTGCTCTTCGGTCCTCCTCTTCTCCGCTGGTGCTGCCCGCTGTCTCGTGGCCGGCCTCAAATGCAGTGATCGCTCAAATTCAAGATCATCTAGAAACCTCTCCTCTCTATATGGACCCAGAAACCCTGAGCCAACTGAGACTCAACGCCTCCTCTCCTGCTCTGCTCGTCTTCAGGCTACCCTACGGCAACGGGTATCTCCTGACTCCTCTGACCATCTCCTCTGCTCCTCTGCTCCATCTGACCCTCTCCTCTGCATCTGATTTTAATCATTGTGTTTGTTGCTTTTCAGAGCCGATCTGATGTCTGCAAAAGAGATCCTCAGTGAAAATGGTCAGTAAGTCTTCAAATATTTCTATCAGAAGCAGAAGACAGTAAAGTTGTATTGTTGCAAATATGTTTTCCAGATGAGGTAATCGGCCAAGTGATGAGCATCATGAAGACTCAGGCTGTTCCATACACAGCCATCTACACGGCACTGAGACCCTCAAAGGTAACAGTCAATGAGCTTTTAGACATTGTAGAATTTGCAGCAAATCACAAAACTTTTTATCTTGTTTAGAGTCCCATCATTTCACAGTGCATCAGCAGATGGTGTTCTAGCGCCCCCTCTGATACGTTTCTGTAAAGAGATTTTATTAAGGTAGTAAATAGTTTGGTATTGATGTTTTGAAAATTGTTTAGCCATTTAAAAATTAAAATTGGAGTAAATATTGAGCCTCATTTATAAAACGTTCTTATGAACAAATTTGTACTTGAGACTTTCTCACGAACATTTTTGGCATTCACAAAACTTTTTCTTAACTGGAAAAGTTCTTCTGGAAGAACAAATCCTACAAACAAAAAATTCAAATTTTTTCATTATTATAAGTTGACATATATATATATATATTTTTAATGATTTCTTATAAACATATGACTGTGTGATCAAATAACATTCATGAGTTGTTTCTAGAGTCTGTGTCTGTTGGGTCTAACAGACTTTGTCCAGGCTGCAGTGAGCCTCAGTCTGTCCCAGCCCCAGTGCCTCCATATGGGCCTCTGTCACAGCCCTGTGCCTGGTCACCACGCTGGACTCAACATCTCTCATCACCCCCCCAAACCCCCATGACAAAAGCGCACTTTTATGCACCCCCACCCCAGTCCCCTCCCTCGCTATTTACCACGGGTCAGCGGAAAGCACGATAAATATGTTCATGACTTAAATCTTCCTCCCTGAGTGTGTTCATCTGAGTTTGGACATTTGAAATCACTGCTGAAGCTGTAAAACAACCTCCACCAAACCTCCTTCCTCTTCACTCTCTCCCTCGCTCTTTCACACGTCATCATACCAAACCCATACTGGCCATATTTGGAAGTTCAGAGGGCGTTTCTAACCAAATACATATTTATTTTTCATGTAAATAAAATGTAAATGAGCGTGGAGGTGTTGGTAGCTGGGTGTTGGTGAATTCAGCGCAACTGTCACTTAAGAAGAAATTTGGATGTTCTTAAAGTGGGAGTTACAACATTTTTAAAAAAAGATTCATGAATGATGCCCATTGTGTTTTGCCCCAAAGAGTATATTATAAAAGCAGCAATTAGTGTCAAAATCTGACCTCTCTGTGCTTTCTGTGGCTCATGATAAGTAGTATTATCTCTTAAAAACCCAGAAGTAATGACAAAAGCAGCGCTCTGATTGTTTGTGTTTGACGGTCCACTTCTCAGTGTATAAAAGCTGTTCTAAAGCGTGCTTCTCAAAAATGCAAAAGTGCATGCATGTGAATATAAACAATGTACCAGGGGGTTTATGAGAGCTGTGCAAAATGGACTCGTGTGAGCTTTAAACCATGTTAGAATGTTACCTCATCAAAAAGAGCCCTTTATTAAGTCTGTCTACATCTCCAAAGCTCAAAATTCTCTGTTCCAAGTTTCAAATTAACAGCTCCTTTTACCTTTTATTTAGTAGAGATTAGGAATTCCAGGGCTGAAATGATTCCAAATGATTCTAGTGAAGGTGTGTGGGGTTTAACAACAAACTGGAGCACTTGCTTTCTGTTGGGTTTATCTTCTTAAAGTGATTTGTTTTTCTGATGTTTGGTACTGATGATAGTGTGTGTGTGTGTCCTGTAGGGGGCGTCGGCGGTCTCATGGGAGGCAGGTGTGGGCGGAGGGCGTTCCCTGCTTCAGGCCAGAGACAGGTACAGAGAGAGAGAGAGGGAGAGGGAGAGGCAGCGCAAAGTGAAGGAGCGAGCCGGCGTCTACGCCCCCGTCGAGTTTAAGGTACACTTCTGTTTGTCTGTCATGTTCATATTTTCAGATTTGATTTTATTCTGCAAAATGGACTTTGACTTTTACGAGCGACACCATGTCACTATTTCCTCACGTGAAGTTGTATTTGGAGTGATTCGTGCATGTCAAGACGTCATTTTACAGATCAACCTGTTTTCACCTGCACTGGTACACGCCCACTGTGACGTACACTCCTCACTCTTGAATTTGGCAGCATCGTCATTTTGGTACAAATTTTAAAAAAGTACATTTCTTTTTTAAACAGTGAATCTCATGTAGAGTTACACTGTGAAGTCTACTTTCCATTTGATATCAACAACATTGTCTGGGGGTGATGCAAACTTTAGGCACTGCTCTGTCTGAAACTCTGACACTTAATCTGAGCTTTTTACCACAATCTGACCATAAAAAAATGACATTAGCCAGCAGTTTTTTGGTTAGTCTCTCTCATATTTTTGTTGAAAATCAAACTCCTAAACAGGATCATGAACACTTGGATTGATCACAGGTTCCTGAAAGTGTGCTCTTTATATTCACAAAAACAGGCTGCAAAGTATATTACACTGGGAGTGTTCCACCTGTATGTCTATGTGTTACAACCCAGTGCTAGGGACAAAGGAAAGTAACACAAACCAGGTAGGATGTAAAGTAAATGGCTTTTATAAAGTGAATGTAAGTAAGTACAATAACAAAAAAAGAGGTGTTTTACACTTGATAAATCAGAATTTCCAAAGGTACCTAAACAACTCCTAAAATGGGGTAGGTTAACATCAAACAAAAAACAACTGCCCAAAGGCCGAGGCAAACTGGCAATACTAACAAAAAATATAGGTCAATAACGACCTACAGTCCGAATAAACACACACACTTTACAATAACAAATGGAAGGCAACTAGCGAACGTCTGTCAGTGAGAGTGGCAAACTGAAACTCATCCAGCCTCCAGGAGGGACAGGAGAACAGCACTTTTATTGGTCGAGGCGATGGATGTGTAGAGAAGGGATTGGAGGAACAGGACGTCAATCCTCCAACCACAACACAATGGAACCAGCTCACAGCGACGGAACCACGCCCCACCAGTCAGATGTCAGGTACCACACAGGACATGAAAATATGGAAGATACAGGCGGTAAAACAAACGGGGAGTGCCAGGCGATGCGGAGCTGGAGACAGGCCGCGAGCCGTAACACTATGGCGGAATGTTCAACAGTTACTATGGTGGCATAATGCACACATTAGCAAACACAGGCAAAAAAGTTTTAAGTTGAACTCAAGAAAAAATACCAAATGGATTTAAACAACACATTTTCAGGAGCCTGTGATCAGGTTCATGGTTTGAGTTTCAACTAAAAGTTGAGTTGGCTAATGAGCTTGTGACTGTAAGTTTATGTGTGAGAGACTTCTTTAACTTCTCACCTGTTGCAGGTCCAGCCAATAAACCAGTTCTTTGTGGTTAGATTGAGTTACAATACTGTAAAGCTAAGATTAAAGTGTAACAAAGCCTCAGACAGAGCAGAGCCTACAGTTAGAATCACACCTCAGGGAATGGTGATGACATCAGATGCAGAGTATCAATAGGCCCCGGCCCTCCATCTGAAACAATCATCATCAAATTGTAGAACACCAACACAGCTTTGAACTGTGAGCGTGCGGCCCCTGTGCTGTGAGCGTGCGGCCCCTGTGCTGTGGGCCCCTGTGCTGTGAGCGTGCGGCCCCTGTGCTGTGAGCGTGCGGCCCCTGTGCTGTGAGCGTGCGGCCCCTGTGCTGTGGGCCCCTGTGCTGAGCGTGCGGCCCCTGTGTGCAGGAGGGTGAGAGCACGTGCCTGCTGCTCTGGGCCAAGGCTCTGTCGGTCAGTATCCTGCGCAGTGGACGATGGGAGGAGTATGACCTGACCCCCTCCACGTTTGGAGAAGGAGTCACCCCCAAAGTGCACGGATCCAGCTGTGACAAGACCAGAGCCAGGTACTCACTGTCTCTATGCTCTAGACCTGGTTTAGTCCTGCTTTAGTCCTGGTTTAGTCCTGGTTCATTCCTGGTTTAGTCCGGGTTTAGACCTGGTTTAGACCTGGTTCAGTCCTGGTTCAGTCCTGGTTCAGACCTGGTTTAGTCCTGGTTCAGGCTTGGTTCAGTCCTGGTTCAGTCTTGGTTCAGTCCTGGTTCAGACCTGGTTTAGTCCTGGTTCAGGCTTGGTTCAGTCCTGGTTCAGACCTGGTTTAGACCTGGTTTAGACCTGGTTTAGACCTGGTTTAGTCCTGGTTTAGTCCTGGTTCAGTCTTGGTTCAGTCCTGGTTCAGACCTGGTTTAGACCTGGTTTAGACCTGGTTTAGACCTGGTTTAGTCCTGGTTTAGACCTGGTTGTGTGTGTACAGTATGTAATAGTGAACTGGCTGATCTTCATAGTAAATACAAAACATTGTACTGATGGCAGTTAAAGAATAAATCCTTCTCTTTTTCAGGTTGATCCTCAACTATGAAAATGTCCTGGGCCATCGCAGCTTCAAGTTAATGTGAGTCATCTTTAGTTACAGTAAACAGTGAATATTGATACTGTACAGTGGTGTCACGCTGGGGTTGTTCTACATGTTTCCCTACAGTCGAATGTTCAGCAGTTACCATGGAGACTCCATGCATACATTAACTTTTTCTCCCTTGGACGCCTACTAGGAACAACCCATACATATATTTCTAGGGCTACCCATAGAGTATAATTGAATGATAACATTTAGCATTTATATAGCGCCTTTCAAGATCCCCGAAGCGCTTACAGTTCATTATTCAGTCACTCCACACTCAGTGATGGCAAGCTACTACTGTAGCCACAGCTGCCCTGGGGCAGACTGACGGAAGCGAGGCTGCCAATCTGCGCCATCGGCCCCTCCGACCACCATCACTCACACTCACACCACTTTCATACTAGGCAATTTGGGTGAAGTGTCTTGCCTAAGGATATAACAACAGTTTTTTTGCCACTGGCGCCCTCCAGCATAAAAGAAAATGGAATAATGAATAATGAAAATAAAAGAAAAGAAAATTGAATGAAAATAAAAGAAAAGAAAATTGCATAAAAGAAAATGGACTTCCATGAGTGATTATAAATGATTTTCACCCTCATGAAACTTAATTGAAACACAGACATATTTGGTATCTCTGGAAACCCAATTTTGGTCCATAATCGAGTATAAAGTCCTGGATAGTTTGTTTGGATATTGCAGGACTCAGACACAGATGCATCACCGGTATTCTCACCATGGTAACTTTCACTCTCCAAAATTCCTTCGCTATCGCCGTTTTCCACTTTATAATCAACTTCGTCATCACTTTAAAATCTATAAAAGTCACTTTCTCTGAACTTATCCATAAAAACACCCGTTCCTCATTATTTCTAAAACTGTGCGCCGCAGCGCCGCAGTCTTTCCATTGCACCTGTTTCGTGTTGTGTTTTTTCCGGAAGCTACAATCTTCACTTCTTTGATTGACTTTGGGAAAAAAACCTGGCGAAAACACATCCTTGAATCCTATTGGTCAGCCTAGTGTGGGTTGCAGTGGCCCCCACCTATCAAGCCTCTGTTTACATGTGAAAAACCAGAACCATTTCTAATGGTCGTCAAATCACGTCTTTAGTGATACAGCGGAGGTGTCAAAACACGTCACTGAGGAAACAATGGGGTCGTCAAATGTCGTCTTCATGGGGGAAAGAGTTAAACAAATCAAATCGCATACATTAATCACATCAAACAAATGTTCATGGAGGAGTATAAGTCGCACCAGCCAAAATACGCATCATGAAGAAGAAAAAAACATATATAAGTTGCACTTGACTATAAGTTGCATTTTTGGAGGGAAATTTAGTAATAACAATAGAAGAGAGAAGAACAGACTGTTAACGTCACATATGAACAGTTCTTCAGATAAATATAACATAAACAACAGAACAAGTTTAACAAACTCTTCATCTCACTCCAAATCACTAAATTCATTCAATTCTTCATCCTCGGTGTCACTTCTGAGCAACTCCACCAACTCCATCTCAATCTAGCTTTTAAGCCCATGATTTGCTTTTTTTGTTTTCTTCATTGCAGTTTGAGCTTCCTCCGCTTTTCTCTAGTCTCTCACAAGTTTCTCGCTCACTCCAAACTTTCTTTCTGCTGCTCAATTACTGTTTTCGGCTGAATATTTCAGTACTTGCAGCAGGACAGAGGCTCTTTCTGCAGGAGACGCACAGTAGAGTGAAGTGACAGTGGTACAAGAGTAATAGAAGTAACATATACAATACAGTAACAGATAACCTAGAACCTCTTGCTGCTGTCAGTGTGAAAAATATGGTAGTTTGAGTTTCAACATGTGAGAGTGACTAACTGAAAAGACTTTTAACAGCAAAAATCTGTTCATCTGTTGTACAATCAAATCAGCTCTTTCTAGACAGACTGTGTTAAAATAAAGCTCAGATTAAAGTCTAACTTGAGTTCCAGAGAATGTTGATGACATGAGCTCACTGTACAGTATCAGTACAGATGACTCGACAGTTAAACGTGTACATGTCTGTTTCAGTTTTGCTATGAGCCAGCGTCACTACAAAGTGTCTGCTCGCCGCTGGTTCACTCTGGACTCGGTGGAGCTGGAGTACGACGGGACCAAAGCCATTTTTAACGGCTCCAGAAACATCTACGCTCCGGCAGAATACTCCTACCGCTGTGAATCTGTCACCAACTACCGCTGGCCCCTCCTCGTGCCCCGCACCAACAAGGACCCCGCCAACCAGTGGAGGGTCAACTTCCAGGACTTCCAGGTAGGGATCGATGATCACCCATTGGGATTATTCAGGTCTAGGATGAGCAGACCTCCCTTTTTCCATAGCACAGTCTCAGATATTTTTATTTTTTGTTTACCTAAAATACAGAAAACTGTGCTTGAAAATGACCATAAGGTAAAAAAAGCACCAAGCACCAACACACTGTTACACCGACACACGTCAGATTATTACTGGCCCACATGTCAAGAATGGACAATGCTCTTTTCTGTTTTATTTATAGCCATTAATCCAACCTGGGTGTGTCCTAGTTTAGAATTTTGAAAATCTTATCACCTTATTCAGGTCATAATCTAATCATAAGAGCTCAAAATTAATAAACATGAGAATTTTTTAAGCAAAATTCAAGAACCATACGACACTATTTTCAGATCCATGTTATAATGTTGTTCCTCATCATGAACACAATCAGAGTGATGTTTTGTTTCATTCACATGTTTAACACACAAACCCTGCACATTTAGGCTGAGTTCTCTCTGTTCCACTTTGTGATGTCATCTGGTAATGCATGAAGTGCTCCACTGTGTTTTTAAACACCACACACCTTCACTAGAATCATTTGGATAAATTCAGCACTGGAAGTGTCAGACTTTACTGAACTAAAAGTAAAAGGAGCTGTTGATTTGAAAACTATTGCTTCATGACATCACAAGGTGGAACAGAGCATTTGGAGCTTTGGAGATGTATACAGAGTAATGATAAAGCATTACTCCAACGTGTGGATGAAGTGTAGAACTCTGCAGAGATGGCATGTGTTCTGGGACTGTTGCATGTGTGAATGGGGTCACACTCTGGCATCTCTTGTAGCCGGCAGTTTCCTGGGATCTATGTGTGACTGGTGCTTTAGTGGACATCAGACATGTTCCTCTGACCTCCTCTTTGTTTGTGCAGATCCAGGGTTTTAACGTGTCACGGGGGCAGTTCTCTTACGCCAGTGACTGCGCCGGCTTCTTCTCTCCTGGGATCTGGATGGGTCTGATGACCAGTCTCCTCATGGTCCTGGTGCTCACCTACGGCCTGCACATGATCATGCAGCTGAGGACCATGGACCGCTTCGACGACCCCAAGGGCCCGGCTATATCTGTGCCCCAGACCGAGTGAAGCGCCCGTCATATACAACCCTAACCCCAAAGGCCCCGAAGAACGACTGAAACCCCCAGGAGTGAAAGGCCCTGCTGTCTGTACCCCAAAACGAGTGAGACGCCCCCAACCCAGAACGAATGAAACACCCAGGAGTGAACCATAGAATGTGTGTCCTCGAATGAATGAAACGCCTGACACGTCTAACCCTCACCCCAAAGGACCTGTTACATCTGTGGCCCCAGACCGAGTAAAGCGTCCGGGACTGAGCCACCAGCCCAGGATCCTGTGTGCCCCAGAACCAATGAAATGTCAAGAATAAGTGAAACGCCCGGCATGTTTAGCCCAACCCAGAATGAGTGTAACGCCCGGGAACGAACCACCTGCCATCTGTGTGCCCCAGAACGATTGAAACGCCCGTCGTCTGTGTGCCTGTGACTGAATGGACCCTGTCTGCTCCAGATTTTGCTAAAGTGACTTCACACACTTTAATTCTCTCAATGTGGTGTAACGAGATATTATAATAATATGAATAAATAATAAATACATACATTTAAATTATTCTATTAATTACAATTCCTAAAATGATACACCAACATCAGAAAAAAACATTGAAAGTTAAACCTACAATGTTGACATGTTAATACTTAATATAAAAATAAAGAGCTTTTACAAACTATTATTAAAAAACATGAAGTTAAATGTTAAAATACAATGATTCCAAAAACCTAAATTGGGAGCATCTTCTCATTAGTTACTGTTATTTTTACATTCTGACACAAAGGGGATCCAGTATAAATAATGTGTGTTACAGATTATTTATGAATGAAATGCTATTTATTGTTGAACTTAAATGTGTGTTTCCAGTTGTATTCGTGTGTGTGAATAGTACATGATGTGTATTGACGGATGACAGTTCAGACTTATCCTCGTGTAAAATTTCAAATGATTGAACAACACTACAAAAAGAAACATTTAGACTTGATTTGAGAAGTTTCATGTGTCTCTGTATCACTTTGCCTCATATATTCATTATCTTTCTATATATTCTGTATTCTTACTGTGAATGGGCCGCCTCTCCACAGATTTGACTTGTAACTCCTGCTCATCTCCGTACAGATGGGGACTGTGGGAAAATCCTAGAAAAGCAAAAACATCTGCATGGAGACAAACAAATGGTGACAGAAAACAGAAACAGAAAACAGAAAAGTGACACATTGCACCTTTAACATCATTCCCCTCACTAGTTTTAATGGAGTTATTTATTTTGTGAAACTTTCTAATGATAAGTAAATAAATGGGATCTTGTTAAACTTCCCAAATCAAGTAGAATCACTGAAGTTCCAGTTATCTGAAATGATTTGAGAATAGTTGTTTTGCAGAATATTTGTTCATCACTACACTGCAAAGAAAACTTCAGATTGTAAATTGAATTCTGATTAATCTTGTCTTACATAAACACAAAGGAACAGTGTGAAATGATGGACTTTTCTGTTTGAAGTGAGTAACTGACGACTTGTGAAGAGTGTTTTGTTTCTGTGAACCAAATAAAAGTGTGGTCACCATAAAGAGTTGAAGTGCACTGAATGTAACAGATTTAAATGACATGAGACAGGTTTTCAGGAGAAGCTGAGCAGGGCTGGCTCTGGTTTGGACTCAGAGACTGCTGGGAAAACAGGCTCTGTCCTTCCTTGGATTCCACTTCAGTCACGTTGCCAGTGTGAATGTGGTGAGTGACGGCTGGTGGTCAGAGGGGCTGATACACAGAGTGACAGTCTCACTTTCATCAGTCTGCCCCAGGGCAGCTGTGGCTACAGTAGTGGCTCATCACCACAGAGTGTGGAGTGAATCAATAATGAAGTCCTGTTACAAAAGTGACACTTGAATCTTTAGACTTCAGCTTTGTTTAGCACAATCTGACCAGAAAGAGTGAACTTATGTGGAGCTACAACAGGAGAGCTGTTTGTGCTGTTCAACAAGTCTCTCTCAACAACAGCACAGGCACAAGGAACCATTAGCCAACAGTTTTTCACTGAGTCACTCTCACTTTTAGTGTAAAATCAAACTCCTAAACACAAAAAAAAATACAGTTTGAACCCTCACATTGTCCAATTGCAATTTGTCCAAATTGGTGTATGGGCAAGTCATAGCCAAGAAAACCAAAATCTCACATTTTAGCATGATCAGAGTAACTGAGCTGAGATACTGAATTTCATTTTTACAATTTTTTTTGCAAAAATGGGTGTTGTCGCAGTATTTCAAAATTGCATTTACTCATCAACTACTGGTCCGATATCAAAAGGAAATCATAAGGAATCCAAATCTTATTTGTGCATTTGAGTACTTTTGAAAAGAATGACCTTTTGACCTATATGCTGACTTTGAAACTGACAATAAGGGACACGCCCGAACTCAATGACACCAACAGAAAATATGTAGCCTTATATGTCCACTACAACATATACAAAATCTTAGTTATTTATGACCATCTGTATTAGTTCCTCCTTTCTGTTTGTGTGTTGTGACTAGGGATGGGCATGATTAATCGATTAATCGATAATTGATCATTAAGAATTTCATCGATTACGTAAATTTTAATCAACAAACCGAATGTAGGTTGCTGTGTGTAGCGTGACCAAACAGGTCTGTACATGTGTCTCTCTGCACTCAGAAGGAGCGAGCAAACACAAACATTCAGTCAGTCTGCAGCGTACCGAAGCACAAATGTGTATTTAATGATGATTTGTACAAGAAATTCCAGGCTTTCCGTTGGGCAAGTGTGAGTCCATGTGCACAGTGTATAAAGCAGCACATATGTTTCAGTGTCCAGTGGGAAAAAGTTTTACCAGGTGAGAGTCGCGCAATGTGGATGACGAGTCCCCACCTCCCTCCCCCTGTACGGTGTCCTGGTTTTGACAAACGCAAATCTGGTCACACTAACCTGTATTCACCTGAGTCATGTCTTTTAATCTGACAGAAATTGAACCACATCAGCGATACAAGAGCTGTAGTTTTATCTGTTCTGAGTTTATGCAAATTAGCAATGCGGTTTTAAGTTTTGTTTCTGTGAGAGTTGCCCAAAACTGAATTAAACACATTATAATGTCAAACGGGCTGATGTGGCTCTAGAGTCGTTACGGTTTATATGTCGTAAAGTTGAATTTATTTATGCAGATTAGTAGTGCAGATAGTAATAATAATGATGATCATTTTAATATAAAAACGTTAATGATTAATCGATAATCGATTGTTAATTCTTCCGATGATCGATTAAGAAAATTTCATCGAATGCCCATCCCTAGTTGTGACAGCAGTGTCCTGGTTTCATAGATATAATCCAAAGTACAGACTGTTGTTTACACAAGACTACGCTGGTCACACCCTGTTAGCAGCTTGTCCACAAAAACATTTAAAGTTCTTAGTTTCTTTAAAACAGAGGAAGAACATGGTCATACTTTCTATTCTATATATGTATAGTACGTAAAGTATTTACCAGATCCCACATGTAATACTTCAGAGCAATGTAAGAACACTGCACTTTCATTAACCCTTTAGGTGCCATAGTCGTAGAAATGTAGAACTGTAGCTTCCATTCTGATGATGACCACTGTCACCAAACTGCTTATTTAACAATGTACAGAAAGAAAATCAGAATTCGAGCAATCAAAAAGCAAGATGAGGAGTATAAGTTGCTGATGCTATGTAGTATTATAAAGCACAAGAGTATTTGGATATTGCCTACATCATGAGCAAGTTCTTCTTTTGAAGTGTTCTACTCTGAAACGAAAATGTTGTGATCCTTATGAACTTCATCCAGACAAAATAAATAAATCTTTAAAAGTGGTGACCATGGGTTACTATGATCACTTTGTGATTGACAATTTTTTTTATAGAGTGTATCAACTTGGACTCTGTGTATAAATGTATGGCTGTATACACTGACTGGATATGGCCCGTCTTAAGATGGGGGTAATTCAACTTCTACGTAAATTTGTGTGAAAATAAAAAAAAGAAAATGCATCCAGATTTTGTATATGTTGTAGTCGACATATAGAGCTACATTTTTTCTATTGGTGTCATTGAGGTCGGGCGTGTCCCTTATTGTCAATTTCAAGGTCAAAATATAGTTCCACAGGTCATTCATGTAAAAAATCCTCACATGCAAAAATAAATGTCAAATTTGGATTTGTTATGATTTCCCCTTTCCAGAGATCCCTTGTTTGTTTTTTTTTTTGGTTTTTTTTTTTTTATATCGAACCAGTAGTTGCTGAGTAAATGCAATTTGAAATTCAGTGACCATGCAAAAAAAGTGAAAAAATTAAATTGTGTTATCTCGAAAACCATTGGTCTGATCAAACTAAAATGTGAAATTTTGGCTTTTCTGTCTATGATTTACCGATATACCAAGTTTCATCCAAATTTGACAAAGTAGAGTTTAACTCGTTGGGTGAACTGAGGTGAACTGACCCAATATCTCCTTGAGAGTTTAGTTTTTCATAATGAGAGAAGCATTCCTGCTGCACCAGCCAGAGACCCAACCAATGTGTCAGCAACACCAAGAGCACCACCACTGCCACAAACACTTCCCCCTCCCACAGAGAACAATTCAGCAGCACCATCACCTCCCCCTCCTTCAGAGAACGATTCAGCAGCACCACCACCTCCCCCTCCTTCAGAGAATGATTCAGCAGCACCACCACCTCCCCCTCCTTCAGAGAACGATTCAGCAGCACCACCACCTCCCCCTCCTCCAGAGAACGATTCAGCAGCAGCACCTCTCCCTCCTCCAGAGAACAATTCAGCAGCACCACCACCTCCCCCTCCTCCAGAGAACGATTCAGCAGCACCACCTCTCCCTCCTCCAGAGAACAATTCAGCACTATCACCTCCCCCTCCTCCAGAGAATGTTTGAGCAGCACCATCACCTCCCCCTCCTCCAGAGAATGTTTGAGCAGCGCCATCACATCCCCCTCCTCCAGAGAACGATTCAGCAGCACCACCACCTCCCCTTCCTCCAGAGAGCGATTCAGCAGCAGCACCACCTCCCCCTCCTCCAGGGAACAATTCAGCAGCACCACCTCTCCCTCCTCCAGAGAACAATTCAGCACCATCACCTCCCCCTCGTTAGAGAATGTTTGAGCAGCACCATCACCTCTCCCTCCTCCAGAGAATGATTCAGCAGCACCACCTCTCCCTCCTCCAGAGAACAATTCAGCACCATCACCTCCCCCTCCTCCAGAGAATGTTTGAGCAGCACCATTACCTCTCCCTCCTCCAGAGAACGATTCAGCAGCAGCACCACCTCCCCCTCCTCCAGGAACGATTCAGCAGCACCACCTCCCCCTCCTCCAGGGAACGATTCAGCAGCAACATCACCTCCCCCTCCTCCAGAGAACTATTCGGCAGCAAAACACACCTCCAGGTCTGTTTATGAGGAAGGAAAAACATTCTAACATTCTGACATAAAGTTCAGTCCATTTTGTGTCATATAGGATCTTTAAGATTTCTTTGTTTCCCAAGAGCATTTTTACTATGATTGGATATAAATACTGGATTTAAGAGGCCAAACTGTCTCAAAGCAAAATAAAAAGATGAAAATGTGTAATTTTTACTTACTTTAAAATTATTTGTATCCAGCTTGTATTTGTGACTCTGTGACAATCGTGTACTGTTTTGTGTACATTTGTAATGTTCAAACTACAGGAACTTTTAATTTTGATTAAAATAGGGCTTTTTAATTTTTGAAAACTACTGAAATTTTGACTTGGATCATTTTTGATATGTAATTGTGAAATATATAACAATGTTTAAAGTGGAACTAAATAATAAATCCACTTGTTGTTACTGAAGTGTGTATGTGGTGTTTTTATACTTTTATCTACTGTGTGACGACTTCAGTGCAAACCAGGTAAAGGTAAAACTGCACCTTTCTGCTCCAAAACCTTTGTGCTGCCTTCAGTGACTTTTGCAAATTCTAGTAGTTGGTGACATCACACAGCACTGCCCTGATCACAGACAGGTGTTTCTGATACAAGCACCTGTCTGCAGGGGCGGAGCTCTACATGTGGACACTTGTTTCACATTTTTACCCTTTTTTACACCGATCATTTGGCTTCAATGCATTTTATGTATTTTTTATAACTGGGCACAATTATTATTCCTTTTAAATACTGAAAATAAAACAAGTCAAAGATGCACTGTAGTTTTGGTCTTGTTAACATTATGGTTGCTAGGTAACAGTTGTGGAATGGCCCTTACATGTCACATCTGCTGCTCGTGTCTAACCAGGAAGTAAAATTATGAACTTAAAAAATTATTATTAATTATTATTAAAAAAATAATAAATAAAAAAAACAATAGAAAAGACTAGGTAAGATTTTTAATAGAATATGATGATGATGTTTAAGTGAAATGAGTCTAACTGTCATATGCACTTTAAAGCCATCATTCTGTTATAATTTGGACATTTTAAATCACAATATTCATCAACAACAACTTAATAAAAGGTGTCCAACTTGAGCTGACATTAACGCCATGACGACAAACGCCACATGTTGTGGGCCCCTCCT